CAAAAAAGGAAAGAGAGGAAAAAGACATGATAATACTTACTCTCTTTTCATATACACATTAATCTCTTTTTGAAAAATTTCATCACCCACTGTATGATGTAGCACACGCAATATAGAAGGTGCTACAACAAATAAGCATTATAAGATCAAACAAAAAATTATACACTAAACTTATGAAAGTTCTCAGAAATATTGATAAGACTACAATTAATTAAAAATTTCGATGTTTTTAGAATATATTTGTTTTAGAATATATCTTTACTTATTTTAATAAATAAAAAAATATGTAAGTTGAAGTAAATTTATTATTTTTGGTATACTTCTTAAATAATTTTACATGTTTTAATTGTTTTAACTTTATTTATTCAGTACTGCATATCTTTTATGTAATAAATGAAAGAGAAGAGAGAATTAATTTCAGAGATACCCTTAACTTCTGAACCAAGAGGATTTCATAACTTGTGAATCATCTAGATGCAGAGATTCTTGTTGAGTCTGGACTACGAACAAATCCAACATCTGAGTATCTGGCACTAAATCTGGTACTAAGTCTAAACATTACTAATATATAAATATAACACGAAATAAATAATAATTTAATTATCAGTTTATTATCATTAGACTAATAACCATTAACAATATAATTAAATTATTAAAAATTTTATAAGCGATTTCACAAAAATGTTACAAAATTCTTTATGTTTAACATAAATATTATTGAAAATATTGCATGAATATTCTTTCTCTTCGTATATGCCTTCAAATAGAACTTATATTTAGTTTTCTTAAAAAGTATTATCACAAACATGACAAAATACCTGATTGATTATGTACACGCCGAACAACGTAGCAATACCCTCGTTCAGCCACATGTAAGACCACCATGATGGACTAATCGCAGTATCAAACAATTGACCTACAACTTTACGTCCTATTATACGTGATAACTCGATTTTGCGTGCGATGGAATTGATTTCTTCATTGTAAATAATATCTTCTTCTCTGCAAACAACATATAAACAATATTGTTATATGTCACAAATATTCACCGTTTAATATTTTTGTTACTAATAACATTCTACTCTACATAATATTTACAACATTTTTTCCATTTCTGTAACTGTCTTACTATAGAAATATAGAAATATAGAAATTAATTTTTTTAAATGCACATACTACCTATAAAGTACGAACTGCAATTTATTCACGCTATCATCTGTCAAATCTGCGATCGCATATTTATTTCTCATTAAAGATTCTTCTGGTTGTTGCCACATAAATTCAACTACGACTGTGACATCTTTAATTAATTTTAAAATTTGATTCCATTGCACTTCGATCGACTTTCTTCTCCATAATTCGAGGTTTTGTACGGGAGAAGTATAAATATAATCATTTTTATCGTATAACAAAATTGCTATACGATAGGTATTTCAGGAGTTGTAACAACGTGTCATCGTCAACGTTGAGAGAAGAGAAGGTGTATTTGAAAAAACATTGTAATGTTCAGGATGTTTTATATAGTAATGGAAAAATTAGCTTTTAGTCCTGGTTCGTCCCAACATGGAAAGAGACGTCGCATTCCAGTTATTGAGTTACTTGTTGCGATGAGCCATCTAACATATTTAGTTAATTTTATTAATTATGTAGTAAGATATTTTCTTTATTCTTTAATAGCATATCGGGTATTATTATAGGAACTTAATAGAGAGCGAATAAATTTTAATAGAAACATTTTTTCGACTTCTATATTTATTACTACATTTATTAGTACAAAACATGTTTTTTCTTTCTACTACTTTTTACAGTTTTATACACTAATTTATTATGCATATATTTATAGAAACACATATATTTATAGAATAAATGTTGAAAGATTCGAATTAAACATTCTATTTTATATACGCGGGCAATACTTGTAAAGAATTTATTTATTAAAAAATCTTTAAAGAAGGAATAATATCATTTATACATTGTTATACGTTTTATACGTTGTTATAACTTTTTGTCAGAATATTCACATTTTTTAAATATATATTTCGTAACAAAACCAAAGTTTACTTTTCAAAAACTCTATAAATATTATAACGTTACTTTTATACATGTTTAACGAACTTTCATTATCATG